TGGTGATGTGGTGTGATGTGAGAGGTGATGAAGGTGTGATTGATGTGATGATGGTGGTGATGTGATGGTGATGATGGTGGTGATGTATGGTGATGATGGTGGTGATGTGACAAGTGGTGGTGCGATGGCGGTGTGGTGAGGTGCTGGCGTGCTGAGTGCCACATTTGTTCTGGAACACTGGACATGCGTAAGCTGTGAAATTGGGGCCCTGTGAAAACTGCCCACTTCACAGCTGGAGGAAAAGGAAGTTATGTAATCTGTGCTGGGCCACACCGCTAAAGAGGCAGAGAGAAGGTGGAACCCCAGCCCATGATGCCAATGTTACGCTGGCCGTGAAAGTTATACGGGCACTTGGGAGCAGAGGGTGCGCAGAAGCAGGGTGCGGGGTGGGGGCACTCAGAGACCCTGACTGGATCGCCTGAGGAGGCAGCTGCTACTCTGAGCCCGGAACTGCCCAGGGATCCTGCAAAAAGGCTCAGCCTGACTGTCTTGGAGTCCCGGGCCTCCTGCCCCCAAACCCTCCTTCACAACCTGTCCTCGGCCTGGCCCATCGCAGAGGCCCACAGGGAGGCTCAGTAAGCAACTTCCTGCATGGGGCGTGTGTAAGGCACTGAGGGACAGGCTCAGCCCCTTCCACAGCAGGGAAGCCAGCAGGAGCTGGCAGGTGAGCCGCCCTGCTCCAGCGCGGCTCTCTGCACAACCCTAGTGGCTGTTGGGAGCAGTGCAGTGGGCTGGGGACATCTTCCTCAGGCTCCTGCCTACAAGCAGTGCCAGCCCCCTGCAGATCCCTGGAGGCCCTGCTGATGGGAGACCTGCCATGGCTTCCCCTGGCGGGGGGTGGGGGAGCAGCTCCCCTAGCCGTTTTGGGTCTGGCATTTTGTGCAGCAGGTTTCTAAAGAAGGCTCATTCAGATTTCATGCGCCCCGGAGTGAGGGTCAGTTTCCTTTGAGGAACTTGGCCTTGAAGACCCTGCGCCAGGGGACAGCAATTGCAATACGTGTGTGTGTGTCACGTGCGTGCGCGGTGTGCACGCTATAGTCTTGTCAAATAGCACTGTAGTCTTCTAAAAAATATTGAGGTATAATTGATGCACAATAAAATCCACTAATTTAAAGGACACAATTTGATAACTTCTGACTTTTGCCAGAAACTGTGAAGCTGTCACCACCATCAGGATAACACACATTCTATCACTCCCAAGTCCCCAGTGTGTCTCGCTGCGATCCCACCTGCCACCCTCCCCACGCCAGGGAACCACTGATACGATTTCTGTCAAAACAATTAGTCTGCATTTTCTAGAGTGCATATAAATGAAGTCATATAATACTTATTCTTTGCCAGGAGTCTGGCCTCTTTCTCCCCACATGATCGTTCTGAGAGTCACCACGTTGCTGGGTCCATCAGTAGTTCCCTCCCGTCACTCAGTAGTTTTCCATTGCAGGATGTACTGTGATTATTTATTCATCACCTGGACACGGACATATACATCGTCTCAATTTTTGGATATTTCAAGTAGCGCAGCTGTGAACATTTCAGTACAAGTTTTGCGTGAACATATATTTCATTTCTCCTGGGTTGTACCTAAGAGTGGGATTGCTGGGTCATTTGGCAGGTAAACGCTTAACTTTTTAAGAAGCTGCCCAACCGTTTCCCAAAGCAGTTGTTCCATTTTACATTCCTACCAGCCGTGTATGAGAGCTCCAGTTTCCGCCATCCTGGCTAACGTGTGGAGTCAAACCTGGCTGCATAATTTGCGTGGTCCGGGGCAAACTGAAAACACCAGGCTCTTTGTTGGAAAATTATTAAGGATTTCGGAGGAAAACAGTAGGGTATGAAACCAGGTGCAGGGCCCTCCGTGCAGGGGCTCTGTGTCACTGCACAGTCACAGCCTGTGAAGCCAGCCCTGCATGGCAGGCGTCTCTGTGTTTCAGGCACTCACCGTGGCAGCAGTTCTCACCGTGGTGTAAGTCGAGTTTCCCTCGTGACTAATGATGTTGAGCATACTCGCTTGTCTTCTGCGTTATCTTCTTTGGCGAATCTGGCCAAATTTTTGCTCATTTTGTTTATGGGTTGTTTATTTATCGCTGAGTTTGAGACCTCTTTACATATTCTGGATACAGGTTCTTTATCAGATATAGGCTTTGCAAATATTTCCTGCCGTCTGTGGTTGGTATGTTCATTCTAACAGTGTCTTTGGAAAACTTAAGTTAAATTTTGATAAAATTCTACTTGTTTTTTCAGAAAATCATGCTTCAGGTGTGAAGACATCTTCACCTAGCCCAAGATCACAAACATTTTCTACTTTTCTCTGGAAGTTATAGTTTTACATTTATATTTATGGTCCATTTTAAGCCCATTTTCGTGTGAGGTGTGGACTGAGTTAAATTTTTCTTTTGTCTATGAGTAGCCATGCTTTCCAGCACAATTTGTTGAAAAGACAATCCTTTTCTACGCAGCGTCTTTGCTCACCTGTAACACATCAGTTCTCAATGCATGAGTGAGTCTATTTCTTTTCTTTTCGAGACAGTCTCACTCTGTTGCACAGGCTAGAGTCAGTGCTGTGGCATCAGCCTAGCTCACAGCAACCTCAAACTCCTGGGCTCAAGTGATCCTCTGGCCTCAGCCTCCCGAGTAGCTGGGACTACAGGCATGTGCCACCACACCTGGCAAATTTTTTTTTCTATTTTAATTTTTTTTTTGAGACAGTCTTGCTTTGTTGCCCAGGTTAGAGTGAGTGCTGTGGCGTCAGCCTAGCTCACAGCAACCTCAAACTCCTGGGCTCAAGCAACTCCTGCCTCAGCCTCCCGAGTAGCTGGGACTACAGGCATGCGCCACCATGCCCAGCTAATTTTTTCTGTATTTATATTAGTTGGCCAATTAATTTCTTTCTATTTATAGTAGAGATGGGGTCTCACTCTTGCTCAGGCTGGTCCTGAACTCCTGAGCTCAAGCAATCCTCTCTCCTCCGGCTCCCAGAGTGCTGGGATTGCAGGTCTGAGCCACCGTGCCTGACCTTGAGTCTATTTCTGAACTCTCTATTTCATTCTATTGATCTATTTATCTGTTTTATACCAACTGTCTTGATTATAGGAACTTTATAAAAAATCTTTAAATCAAGCAGTATTAGTCCTCCAACTTTTTTTTAAAAAAATAACTTCCACTTTTGTTTAAATGTATGGAATATTTTATATTATGTAAAAGCTGTTGTAACCTCGTCTAATTCTAACATCTGAGTCAGTTCTGGATCAATTTCCATTGATTGCCTTTCCTCTCATTGTGAGTCCTATTTTCCTGCTTCTTTGTATGCCTAGTAATCTTTGATCAGATGCCAATGTGAATTTTACCTTGTTGAGTGCTTGATATTATTATATGCCTATATTCTTGAGGCTTTTTCTGGTATGCAGTTAAGTTACTTGAAAATAGTTTGATACTTTCAGTTTTTGCTCTTATGGTTTGTTAGGTGGGACCAGGACAGCATTTGGGGTGGGGATAATTATTCCCCATTACTGAGGTAGTACCTTTCTGAATACTCCACTCACTGCCTTATAAATTGTGTTTTCCAGTCTCATTGATGGGAACAGGTATTGTTTCCAGTTCTGTGTGAGCACTGGGTAATCTTTTAGGATGGTTCTTTCTCCAGCCTTGGTGAGCTCTGCAGAGCTGTCTGCTGCTCTCTCCTTTCTGATACTCTGGTCCTCCATGTGCCTCTAGCTCTGGCCTTTTATCTACGGAGACTCTCTTGATGCCTCAGGTCTCACTGGGCCAACCCCCACACACAGGCAGGCAGGCCAGCTGTGCACATCTCTAACCACATAGACAAGTCATCTCTGTACGCATGCTGGGGACTCTGGAAAGGGCACACATCTCAGGGCCTGCATGAATACTGAATGACCTTCCTGAAGGACACTGGCCTCAGTGTGCTCACTTTTGATGCCTGGTTGCTGGAGTCCAGTGGAAGCAATAGCAGACACACTGCCCACATGAATGAAGGCCTGGTTTCCAGTCATGACAGAACTTGCAGTCTCAGCCCTAACCAGGTCCAGATATTAAACTCTCCCAGCCTTAACAAGTTTGCCATGACTTGGGATGCTGTCTGGCTAGGATGAGGGTCCCTTGGTGCATTCACTCAATACTGTGGTGGGCTTTTTGTTTTGGAAAAACTAGGTCTCACTTTGTTTCCTGGCGCTAGGGAGGGTGCCGTGGCATTGCAGGCCTTAGCTCATCCAGCAGACCTGCAAAAGCGCTCCTTGCTCTGGGAGGCCTGTAGGGGGCGTGTGGATGCTGCGCAAGGTCATAGATGTTACGAAACCTTGTCGCTGATTTTGGCGTATCCACAGTGAGACCCCATCTCTTATTATAAATAGGAACATTAATGTTGGCAACTAAAAATATTATAGAATAAACTTATGCTGATGGGTCATGTGGCGGTAATGCCTGTGGATCCCATGCTTACTCAGGAGGCTTGAGGCAACGGGATTGCTGGAGCCCAGGAGTTGGAGGTGTTGCCTGTGGAGCTAGGCTTGAGCACCAGACTCCACTCGGGCCTGGGCAACAACCAAAGCGAGGACTCTGTCTCGAAAAACCAAACAAACAAACAAAACAACTCCTTGTGCTCAAGGCAATCCCTTCTGCCTCAGCCATCCTGAGTAGCTAGACTACCAGACATGCGTCAGCATGCCCAGGCTAATTGGTTTGCTGCTATTATATTTTTTATTTTTAGCTTGGTCTCATTAATTTCTTTCTACTTTTAGTAGAGATGGGATCTCACTCTTGCTCAGGCTGGTTTAACTCCTGACCTTGAGGGATCCTCCCGCCTTGGCCTTCCAGAGTGCTAGGATTACAGGCATGAGCCACCACACCTGGCCTCAATACTGTGCCTCGTATGCCTACTGTGTGCAGTGCCACATGAGGAACTCCAGCTCCAGTCCCAGGAAGCTCCCAGGCCACTGGGGAAATTACCTCTGGTAACCAGTTCCACAAAGGAATGTCTAACGAGAGGATTGGCATGTGAAAAAAATTATTTTCAGACAATCTTTGGGAGTGTAGCCTGACACAGATTTGGGTCAGCGAGGTGATGTGGAGCTGAGACTGAGCAGGGTTGGCCAGGCAGAGGGGCAGGGCAGGCACCAGTTGTGTCCTGGAGGCTCCTGTGGCTTAGCCCTGGGCAGCCCCTATGGCAGGAGCGGGGTGTATATGGTCCTGGGCCTGTGCTCCTGGGCGTTGACTCACGTGGGAGATGAAGTCCCCAGTGGACGTTTTAGCTGAGGGACTCTGCACACTCTCATAAACGTGTGGTGGGGGACAGTCCGCGATGTTAGCTCCACAGTCTGGGAATTTTCTGTTTTTTCCATTAATGGATCCTAGCCTGGCATCAACACTTCTCAGTCGATCCTGCTCTGTGGAGGGACAGAGTAGGGGGAATTGGGTGGGATGACAGGGGAGAAGGGTCACTGGGGAGGGGGTGAGATGGGGCAGGGCAAGGGCCATGGGGTTTGGCCTCAGTTCTGCCACTAGGCGAAGCCCCTCCCCTGCTCAGGCCTTGGATTCCGAGGGTTTGGCTTCCACAGCCCAGGGCCATGCCCCCTGTCCAGAGAGGACCACGACGCAGGCCCTGCTGCACGCCCCTAGCTCGGTGCTTCCGGCCGGCGACGAGGTTCAGGCTGCTACCAAGGTCTCCCTCAAGACCCACGGGATTGTCCCCACTGTTCTCGCCGCCAGCGAACACGCCTCGCGGGCCCACCTTCGCGTCACGTCGCGGATTTCCCAGGAGTAAGCGGCCCCTGTGAAGAACGTGAGCAACGTGCTCTTCGGAAGGGCTGCCTGCTCACCCTGGGGTCCGACGGTGAAAGACCGGGCCGAGAGCGCTCAGGGGCTTTTCCAGCGGGGCCGGTGCCCACGCGCTCGCCCCTAGGGCCGGGGACATTGCGGCAGCAGGCGACAGGACAGCGGCCCCCGCTGCCTACTCGCGCCCTCCGGGAGCCGGTGCCGCCGGGCGCGTCCCAGGTACGGAACGGGCCCGCACTGCTCGCCGGCTCCGCGGCCTCTGACCCGGGACTCCGCCGGCCGAAGCTGACACGGAAGCGGAAACGGAAAGCGCGTCAGGACGGCGCCGGGCGGGGACGTACCGCGCAGACTCGCCGCGGCGGTGTGACCCGGAAGCACTCGGATCGGCCACGCCCCTCCCGCCGATATCGCTGCCGGGAAGCCAGGCCGCTTCCTTTCTCTGCTCGCGCACGTCGTGGTGGCAGCAGGTGGGCCGCGCGGCGCGGGCTCCGGCTCGGGGCTGGCCGGGGCCGGGCGGGGCGGCGCGGAGGCCGGGTGGGCTCGCGCGGGGAGCAGGGGCGCGGGCCCTGCCGCCCTCACGCGCCGCGTGGTCATTCCTTAGGCGCGGCCTTGACATGCAGAACGACGCCGGCGAGTTCGTGGACCTGTACGTGCCGCGGAAATGGTGAGCGCCTCACCCGCCCGTCGCGCTCTGCCACCCGCTCCCCCCAGTCCCCTCTCCCTGCCCCCACCGCCCCAGGTTCCTTCTCCCTGCCCCACCGCCCCGTCCCCTCGCCTCCCCTACGCCCCCAGGCCCACTCCCCATCCGCTCACGGTGCCCCCTCCCTCCACAGCTCCGCCAGCAACCGCATCATCGGTGCCAAGGACCACGCGTCCATCCAGATGAACGTGGCTGAGGTGAGGCGGGAGCCCAGGCCGCGGGAAGGTGCATGGGTGCCAGTGACAGGAAGGTTGTGCCCCTGGGGAGTGACCACTGGGGAGGGGGGAAGGTGCAGGTATGGGCTGGCTTTTCAAGGTTGGTGTTTTCCAAACTCCAGGTCAGATTTAAAGTTACTTACAGAGTGGTTTTGTGAATCCTTTTGTTTATAGGTCGACAAGGTTACAGGCAGATTCAACGGCCAATTTAAAACCTATGCCATCTGTGGGGCCATTCGCAGGATGGTGAGCGTCCCTGGGCTTTGTTTATCACGTGGCTCTGCACCTGGGAACATTGTGGACTTGGGCCTGGGCATTTGAGCGTGTAACGGTGCCTTCCTACCTTTCCTCGAGCCTGTGTAGATTTGTTGGCAGAGTAGATCTGAGCCCTGTGGACTGTAGCGTCTGTCTCCTTCCTGGGGGCAGGAAAGGGGTGCTCGGGGACCCAGGAAGAAACCGAGCTAGGAGCCCCGTTCCCTGTACAGTGAGGCTTGAGGCCGTGACTGGGAGAGAGTGCCCACCATTCCAGTGCGGGGGAGCATGGGGTGGGCAGTGCTGCTGACCTGCCGTTCCAGGCAGCTGCAAGAATATTCAGTGTGCTTTTTTCTTTCAAAGGGTGAGTCAGATGATTCCATTCTCCGATTGGCCAAGGCCGACGGCATTGTTTCAAAGTAAGAGCAGGGGCGTCTTACGTTTGGGCAGAGTGGGACTTTTCCAGAGACATGGTTTTAACGTCCTTTTCTCATTCTAGGAATTTCTGACTGAGAGAATCACAGATGTGGAAAATATACCATAAATAAATAGTGAAAACCCACTTGTGCCAGTTCATTCTGTGCCTGTAGACGTGCTTGTTTGGCCTGTGTTGGGAACAGGGCTGACACTTGCTGTGAGTGGTTGGTAAGGATGGGATAGAGTCCAGTGCGATAAAAGGAGACAAGTTATAAAGTATGTTGCAAAACCAGGGTTTACTTTAAAACACAAATACATTATCCATTTAAAAACATCCATGACAAACATTCTGAGGTCAGATGTTCACTTCACACATTTACATCCATGACTGCCACCAGGTGCTGAGGAAGTGGCACCAGGTTTGGTTTCATTTGGTCGTAGCCCAGCTGAACACCTTTGACACAGCTCAGATACCTGCCATTGTTCTAGAGGGTGACAGGCTCATGCTTTGTTTGGTTTAACTCTTGGCTTTGTTGCAGTAATTCTTGAATACCATCCAGTGGCAGCTTTAAAAAGGACATAACTGAAGGGGAGGGCTTCAAATAGACTGGTTGGTAAAACGACTTAACCTCGCTACATAAATCTACAAACTTAAATTACTGTGCTTATTGGCCCCTTTCTTGTTATTGTCTGTATAGAAAGTCCCATGGAGATGTGTCCCTTAGAATGTGATGGTGAGATGGGTGGTGATGTGATGGTGATGATGGTGGTGATGATGGTGGTGATGTGATGGTGGTGATGTGATGGTGATGGTGGTGATGTGATGGTGATGATGGTGGTGATGTGATGGTGATGATGGTGGTGATGTGATGGTGATGATGGTGGTGATGTGATGGTGATGATGGTGGTGATGTGATGGTGGTGATGTGATGGTGATGTGATGGTGATGATGGTGGTGATGATGGTGGTGATGATGGTGGTGATGGATGGTATGATGATGGGGTGATGTGATGGTGATGATGGGTGATGATGTAGTGATGATGGTGGTGATGTGGATGGTATGATGGTGGTGATGATGTGATGTGTGATGATGGGTGGTGATGTGATGGTGATGATGGTGGTGATGATGGTGGTGATGTGATGGTGTAATGATGGTATGATGTGATGGTGTGAGTGATGGTGATGGTGGTGATGTGATGGTGATGAGATGGTGGTGACGTGATGGTGATGATGGTGGTGACGTGATGGTGATGATGGTGGTGACGTGATGGTGATGATGGTGGTGACGTGATGGTGGATTAATGGTGGATGATGGTGGTGATGTGATGGTGATGATGGTGGTGACGTGATGGTGATGATGGTGATGATGGTGGTGATGTGATGGTATTGATGGTGATGATGGTGTTGATGTGATGGGTGATGATGGTGGTGATGTGATGGTGATGATGGTGGTGATGTGATGGTGATGATGGTGGTGATGTGATGGTGATGATGGTGGTGATGTGACAGTGGTGGTGCGATGGCGGTGATGGTGAGTGCTGGCGTGCTGAGTGCCACATTTGTTCTGAACACTGGACATGCGTTAAGCTGTTGAAATTGGGGCCCTGTGAAAACTGCCCCACTTCACAGCTGGAGGAAAAGGAAGTTATGTAATCTGTGCTGGGCCACA